AGCGTTGCATTGCTGGAGATCCTGCCTCTTCAGATACGTTAACTTTAAATGTTACTTCTCACTGGCTGGGGGAATTATGCAGGAGGAAGTTAAGCACTGTGTTTCTCATACACCTTATTAAATCTCCTAGGCAAGCCAAACACTTCTATTTGATCATTGCTAATAGGGTTCAAGCGCCTTATAAGAGGAACTGTTTTTTCTATAGGTAAAACAGAGGTTTACTGGAAGCTGGATGACCCTTACTTAGTGTAAATACAATGCATGAGGCATGATCTCATACTGCCTAGGTGAGTATTAGAAAAAAATAGCAGAATCTCATATCCACTAGAAGCTAAATTAGACTGCTGCCATTGCAGGACCAAGTGCATGCTGTTGGGGCTTTGTTTTTTATTCACCCCTAATCACTATGGTCTCTTTAGCCCTTGCCTGTAGAATAGGGAAAGTGAGACTGCTAGAGCTTGGCAAGTCGTAAAAGACACATCTGCCTATAGCAGAAAGAGTTGGTGGGGTGAGGGGGCAGGAAATGATTTTTCAGTCACTCTAGCACTGACTATTGCTTTGGCAATATAAGAGAGTCTTTAACGGGCAGTTAACAGCTTCTGGGACGATACCTCCTCCAGAAGGCTTTGAGCCAGGAGAACGTTTGCCTGGTGGCCCCATCTCCTGCAGCTGCCACAGCTGGATGCGGTAAGGGCTGTCCCAGGCCTGTGGGGGGCACGCACAGCATCACTGCTGCTCTGCTCCTTCTTTCTCCTAGGGGATGAGGCAAGGAGGTTAAAATGCAAAGCTGGGTTAGAGAAGCTCTTAATTTATGTTAGTGGCCTGGTGAGGCAGAGGTGAAGACCCCGGGGGCACCCTGCTCTCCCTCTCCCCATGGCTGGGTAGTCACCTCAGGGTTGCGACAAGGGGAGAGCAGAGGAGCGACGGGGCCAGGTGGGAGCAGAGCCCCCTCTCCAGCCCCGCAGCAGCACCTCAGCAGGTGATGCACGTGGCTGTAATGCTCACCGCATTGGTGAGCCCAAGGGGCCCTGCCTGCCCTCCTGGCCAGAGAGTGAACCTGCCCCCACAGGCCTCCAGCCTAGGCTGCCCCCTTTTGCTCACCCCAGCAAGGGTGCCCAGCTGTGCCCGGCAGCCCTTGTCCCCCAGGCCCGGCTCCCCAGCAGACCATTTTTATATACCCATGCGTGTATATGTACACGGACGCAGCTGGCTGGCCGGCCGATCTGGGCTCCTGCAGGGGTTGGCCTGGGTGCAGATACCACACTCATCCCTTGGGCACGGCGCAGTCCTGCACGGTGGCCCATGTCAGCGCCGCTTGTGGCAGAGAGGCAGCAGCGCTGCGCCCCATGCATCCACACCTGCCATTGGCTGTGGGGCAATAATGGCGCTTCTGTGCTGGCACCTACGCCTGCGCCGCCGCTGGGGCGCTATTCCCGTCAGCTCGCGTGCGACCATCCTTCCTGTCGTTTCTCTCCTCTGGGAATTTTGCCTAATCTCACTCCGACGTCGCTGCAGTTCAGAGCGCAGACAAACGCGGCCCGCGGCAGCGCTGGGGCCTACAGCACCGGCAACCCGAACCCCCGACCAAGGACCAGGCACAAGCATTTATGCCTAGGTCAATGGTGGTAACACTGCGTTATTATCCTCACGTTACAGGGACTTGCTTGACAACTACTGTAAAAGTAAATCAAATAAAACATAGCAGTAAATAAATAAATCACGATAAAACCTGAAAGCTGTCGACATGCGCAGGTCTACGCGCCAAGGCAGCGCCTGCGCTGCCAGCAGGGGCTCCCCTGGCTACGCTGCTGCCTGTGCAGGCAGGCTGTGCCTGCGCCAGGTCGCAAGTGCTATGCTGTTAGGGAAGAGTTTGGACTTCTAGCGTGGCACACAGGAGAATTGTTATTCCTTTTGTTCCCCCCTCCCACTCCTACCTTAGGGATTTTTCAGGCCTTGAGTAACCAACTGCATTGCCTTGGCTCTGCTCCAGGAAACCCCAAGCACTGCATTCAGGTGAGTGAAATCAGTGCTGCCGGCAGCCCTTCCTCTTCCCAGCGTGAGTGGGGCTGCTGTGCCAGGGTGCCCTCCCAGAGAGGCTGGACTACATGGTAGTAGTGCTGCTAAAAGTAGTCACAATCTCAGCATGATGGTTTTGCTTTTCTAAAAGAAATGTGTGAGTGTGAAAGTAAAATTCAGAGTGCAAGGGAAAGGCATCTTGAACTGTAAGTTTTAATTCTCCTCTGTGTGTTGCTATTAGTGTCACCTGAGCTCTGCAAAAGAATTATAGGTGGTGGTATTTCAGGCCTGTGCCAGTGATCTCTCCTCTTGAATTTTTGACTGACTACTTAAATGAGGTAGGCAGGCTCAAGGACTGGTGTGAGTTGTTTGCTGGCAGTTTATAATAAGCTAAGAACAAGTTGTAGATAGTCTTAAAAATGAAATATTCTTCTTGAGCACCGAGAACATTTCTTTTTCCTCATTAATTTCTATTGGATGTTTCCTTTTCTTGGTGTAGGATGTTAAAGCGTTTCTTAGTTTTCCAGTGTAGTTTATGCTGATGCTAAAATGTTCTGGGTTCTGCTGTCTTTTAACATTATGTATTGCTTCGGAAGCTTAAAGACCCTTAAGAATAAACAAAATCCACAATATTAACTTCTTTTTTATTTGGTTAGTGTTACCCCCTGTACTTCTCAGGAAGTGCTATTTGAGAGTTTTGAGAGTACACTTTGGAGTAACTTATGTTCCCCCCCAATGCGTTTTCTGTGCCTTACATGGAATAAACAGGGCAAATTATTTGATCTTCTGGTCACGTGCATGACTCTTCTCATGTAAGTAATCCCATTTCCATGACGCTCTTTCCTCATAAAGATGAGAAATACTCAACAGTCGGAGTCCCTGCTTGGTTAGGATAGCACATTCACAGGGACTTTCTAGAAAATATTTTTTTTATTATAGATAGTTCTTTTGGTTTTAGGATTGTAGATTGAACTGAATAATATTCTGTGTAACTTACTTAACCTCAAGTAATATCCATGCCTATCCATTTATATAGCATTTTGAATAATTAATTCATCAGGAAGTACTGTATAAAACTTCTGGGAAATAGTGCATCTATAAGTATACGACTTAAACTATTATAAACTTGAAGTTTCTACTTTAAAAAAAAGCAAACCAGCCTTTAACTTCACTGTCTTACTTCCCCAGCTTTGTAGATGACTTGATTTTGTTTTGCATTTGTTATAATGTGAGTGTGTTTACAGAGAAGGAAGGAAAGGGGAATGTTTTAGGAAGCTAGACCAGTTCTACATTTTCCTTATATATTCAGTCAGCAGAATCTTTATATTACTTCTGGACTATATTAAGTGCTGGCAGATTTTAGTGGGATAGTTTTTAAATGGGTTGGGAGCTGCAGGTAGTTCAGTAATAATCGGAAGTAGGAATGAAGTCAAGAAGCAAAATGGTGTAACACTCTCCTGCAGGTTTTATGCTAGTATATTTATAAACTATTTACAAAATGAATGAATGCTAAAAATGAAAAAATGCAGATGAAACCCTTCATTACATTCTAGTTAAAACTGGAGAAAACACCAAATGAATATCTGTATCAAGTCATTTGGTCTGCTTAAAACTCTCGAGTTCCTGTGGGTAGAAGGCCTCTGGTGCCTGAGCCACAGGTGCTCAGGATAGGGCTTACGTCAGAGCCATCACTGAACCAGAGGCACAAGGCACCACTCATGACAGTTCAGAATAAATAATTTGTGTCAATTACTGCCAGCGCTATTCTTTCCAAACTGAACTGATGACAATTATTTAATGGTGACCACAGGTCAGATTTGTAAGGGTATTTCGGCTCCCTTTTAAAAAGAGGGGGTGTGCGGGGGTCTGGATACTTTTAAAAGTTAAGATGACTTAATCATCTCTTCTCTCTCTCTCTCTCTCCTATTTAACGTTTTTAAGCCAGAGGGAAAGAAAGCGAAACTTTTAATAGGAAGAAGATGATACCGAAAGTAATAGGTAAACCAATAAGATGCATTTCCCTGGAATAACGTATTTCTCTAAGTGATCCCTGATGAAAGGGAAACTACCGATAAAGAAGCTCAGAGGTGTCGGGAACTAAAGCAAATAGATTACGCAGTTTAGAGATGATAATTTATAAACAGAAATCTACATAATTAGTTTTTGACTGGGGTCAGAAACAAGGTAGTGGACCACTGAAGTGATCCAGTTTGGCATATTGGTATTCTTATGCCTCTTTGTTCCAGTTATTCCAGTTATTTAAATCTAAATTTTAAAGTGAAAAGGGAATACCTGTTTGGAAGTCCAGGACAATTATTTTTATGAAATACAAGTGTTTATACATCTAAATCAAAAATTGAGAAAAAGAAGTAACTAATTAAAACCGGTGTACAAGGTTCCAAAATAGTAAGCAGCAGTGTTTAAATCAATTATTAAATATTTAGAGTGAGATAGAGGAATACTTTACTTCCATCCTATTCTTTAGCTGCAGTTGAATAGTGCTATTTTTTGTGTTTGTTTTGTCTTGTTTCATACCAGATGTTCTTATCGGAAAAAACAATGGTGATGTGTTTTAATATTGATGAGCTGAATCTCCTGGGAATAATAGTATATGTACCTTCTCAGAATACAAATTGTGGGAAGTTTTTTTATAGTGTAATTACCATAATGTATTGAATTTTAAGTATGACTCTTTAAAAACTGTGGAAAGAGGTCTGTATTTATTATCCCTCTTCTATCTACTTTCAGAGTGATTTGCCTTTTAAAATTATGTATCATGTCTTGGCGGCCTTTAGAAAGTAAACACATAAAACACCTGAGGTTGAGGCACTGTGTAATCTGTCAAAGTAACATGTCCTTAAGCACCTTATAAACTATTAAAGCAGTATAATATTTTTCTTTCCAGAGTTACTAGTTTACGCCTTTGAACAATTGCAGCATAATTACGGTACCTCTCTTTAACTTTTTTTTTCCCCCCCTCCCAGGAACTTGAACATTGGAGTCCTGAAATTATAAATGATTTGGTAACAAACCGAGCTTGCAATGCAGGCAATTAAAACCGTGGAAAAAGAAGTAACTTTTATAAAGGAAATACTTTTCACAGAATCTTTCCTAAAGAAGCAAGAGTGCAGCAGAAGCCCAGTGAGCCGGCAGCAGCTCTGTGAGGAGCAGCCATTGGAAGGAGCTGTCTGCAGCTCTCAGTGCTGTACTGAGCATGTCCCAGCGGAGCCCAGTGCAAGCAGCACATTATGCAAAAAGGCAGCTCTAGCAGATGGGAGAGAGGCACAGCAAGCATTTGCTTCACTTGCATCACCACCGCTTGAAAACAAACCTGGATCGCTAGAGGGGATCTCGCCGGCAGGCCAAGGGCAAGAAATCCAGGAGCATGGCTTGATTTCCGAAGGCTTTGCGCTGCGAAAAATCATGGGGAATCAAGATGGGAAGCTAAAGAAAAATACAGGTGATGTGCATGAAGGAGGGGAGGATGTCTCTGGGCCCAAGGATACAGATGGCACAAAGAAGGGAGTCGGAAGCAGAAGAGGACTGGGGAAGCATGCAAAAGGAAGTGAATCTGGTAAAAAGAAGGGTAAGTCGGACTCAAAGGCCTCAGTGTTTTCAAATTTAAGGATCAGAAAAAATCTGTCCAAGGCTAAAGATGGGAATAGTAGTTCGAGGGAGGATGTTTTGGAAAGCCAGGCCTTGCCGACAGGGGAGCTGGACAGTACTCATTCAATTGTTACCAAAACTCCAGATATAAGCATCTCTGCGGATGAAGGGGGTCTCTCAGACACAGATGCTGAACACTTTGAAATCAGAAATGAAACTGTCCCGGTTGCTGCAGAGACACAGGATGGACAAAGGACCAGCTCTGGCTCTGATACAGATATATACAGTTTCCATTCAGCCACCGAACAAGAGGATTTGCTTTCTGATATCCAGCAAGCTATTAGACTGCAGCAGCAGCAGCAGGGGGCAATTAACATTGGAACTGAGGACCTTATCACCAAAACAATGGGCCGACACATGGCTAATTCTCAAGCAACCCCCTTAGATTTTGAACGGTTTCTTTCAGTAGCTACCACTGACAAAGCGAGCAGCCCAGACGCTGAGGCTTTTCCAGCGATATCTGAAATTGCGGAAAACATTCCAGTCTCCTGTGCAAATGAAAGTGAACTGAAAGAGGCGGTAAATGGAACAGGCTCTCCTGGTAACGGCTCATTTAAAACACAAGAACGTAAGCTATTGATCGAGGAGGAGGAAGAGCTCGCTGCCGGAGTGGATGCTGTAGCTAGTGAACTAAAAGATGATTTGAATAGAACTGCAGTAGAAAACGGGTCTCAGATAGACAGCTCTGCACTACGTTTTCCAACCTCTGTAGCAGATTCTGAGACTAAAATTAATGATGTGCAGGCTGTTGATTTCCCAGGTTCAGTAACAGAGGATGGTATTTCAGATGCAGGCCACAATCATGGTGCTGAGACTCAGGAAGGTAAATACGCTCTATCAGCCAGTCAAGAGGACCTGCCTAACGGTTTATCTACTGAAATAAAAAATGGCATTTTGTCCTCTGAGGAGACAACAGGCAGTCCAGTGCTTGGTTCTCGATGCTTTAAGCCCTACCTAATTAATCCTTGTTACATCAAAACCACAACTAGGCAACTGAGTTCTCCCAACCATTCACCTTCTCCCTCCCCATCCCAGAGCCCGCTGTTTACAAGGAGGCAGGAGTCCTTCCACAAAAAAGAAAAAGCCTCAATCAAGAAGCAGAGGTCTGCTAGTTTGGCTGGTTTATTTAGTCGTTCAGCAGACTGGACGGATGAGATATCTGATCACAAATGTGAGATAACGCAGAAGGTGGGCTCTGCAGGCTACTTGGAGCACAAGGGGTTCAGAGAGAAATTTCAAACGGA